CACACAGCCTTCCCCGCTGCTCAGCACTAGGGGGTTGGGCAACTTGGGACACCAAACAATGCATGCGGGATAGCCCATCCGCATTCCCGTGTTGGGTTCCAGCCCTGTGCTGCACCTTAAATTGGAAAGGTTGTAGGGATACGAACCACCGGGTGACCCTAGAATTCTTTTCCCTATTCCTCTGAATCCACTGCAGTGGGGCGTGGTACGTTACCAATACAAAATGTCACCCAAAGAGGTAATAGCGTAGTGCCTCCATGGCCCATTTTATGGTGAGGCACTCCCTCTCAACTACTGCATACTTGCATTCCCTTGGGAGCAGTTTCCTGCTAAGATACAACACTGCGAGTTTTTCTCCCCAATTGTTCATGATAGTACTGTCCCCAACCCCACATCTGATGTCAGTTTGTAGGATAAACTCTTGAGAAAAGTCTGGTGATATCAATACTGGGTTGCTACAGAGAGCAGTCTGTAGGTCCTCAAATGCATTCTCTGCTGCCTCGGACCATTTAATCGGGTCAGGCCCCCGGGCTTTCACCAACTCTGGCAGGGAGGTGGCCCATGTTGCAAAATGGGAAATAAATCATTAATAGCCCACTACTCCTAAAAAAAGTTCGAACTTGTTTCTTTCGTTTAGGCCAGAGCCACTGCTGAATGGCCTCTAATTTATTTAACTGGGGTTTTACCATCCCTTTTCCTACCGCATATCCGAGGTGTTTAGCCTCTCTGAACCCCACAGCACATTTGGCTGAATTTGCCATGAGGCTGGCCGGCCTAAAGGAGTCTAAAACAGCCTCTACCCTCTTCAGGTGGGTCTCCCAATCCACTGTGTGGATGATGTCATCTAAGTAAGCAGCAGCATAGGCAGCATGGGGCCGCAGCAGCTTGTCCATGAGGCACTGGAAAGTGGCTGTGTCCCATGGAAGCTGAACGGGAGGACTATGTACTTAAACAGCCCCTCTGGGGTAGCAAAGGCCATCTTCTCCTTGGCGTCCTTGGCCAATGGGATCTTCCAGTAGCCTTGTTATGTCCAGGGTTGTTAGGTATTGTGCTCGGCCCAGGCGGTCTACCAGTTCGTCGATGCTTAGTATGGGATATGCATCGAACTGGGAGATCTCATGCAACCGTTGGAAATGGTTACAAAAACGGGTGGTGCCATCAGGTTTTGTCCAGTCCCATAGTACTGGTGCCCCCTGGCTATGGGATTCTTCGATGATACCCATCTTTAGCATCTTGTGTACCTCCGCACTTATCTCCTGTCTTTCAGCTGCGAGGACCTGATAGGGTCTCATCATCACTCGGGCTCCCAGATTGGTAATAATTTGGTGGGTGGCCTCTGATGTTCAGCCAGGCTTCTCCAAAAACACATCTCTGTTCAGCAATGATGTTAGAAACCTCTTTTCTTTGGACTGGCGTTAACTCGGGGCCCTCTTTCACTGGTACTGAGGGTTTGGTCGGGGATCAAGCTCCTCCCTCCGGGTAACCACATAGGCATCCCCCTCCTGCCAAGGTTTCAAGAGGTTGATATGGTAGATCTTCCTTGAGCGCCTCAGAGACTCAGAGGCGCCTTTGTTGCCTTGGGATTTCCCGAGAGGTAAGGGTCCCTGCTTACCAAGTCATTCTCATCATAGGCCTTGGGGCTGGGCTGGGCTCAGCTCTTCTGTGCACCTTCCAAAAACTCCCCCTGCTGCCTGGGAGGAATCCTTTTATAGGAACCTTGGGGCCTTAATTGGCAGCAGGTGCTTAATTAACCCCAGCTGCCTCCTAATTAGGCCTCTATTTTCTACCTGTGTTCAGGTGAGGCTAATTTGGAAACAAGAAAGCATTAATCCACCTCCCAATATGGCTGCCTTCTATAAGAGTTTTGCAGTTTTCAGGCTGTGGTCTGTCATAATATGGAGGAACAAGAAAGAATTTAGTAGGCTGTATGCTATTTATTCTCACTTGCAAATAAAGGCACATATAACACAAAAAAGCATCCGGATCCATAGAGCTGACCTAGGAGAAAAGTGGGAGTCCTATTCCATGCCCTGCTTTTCACTTAATAGACATAGGACTCCCACTTTTCTCCATGCCCTGCTTTTCACTTAATAGACCTTCCTTTCTAGTCCCTATGCAGTTATTGGTGTTAATTTCTGACAATGTCACCATGTCCTTGAATACTTCAGGGTTTTTTTTTTTTAAAGGAAAAAAAAAACAGAATAAGAACCAGCTCCTCCCCTTCCCCACCAGTGCTCAGTCCTCAAAAGTGACTGTCCAGGAATAATAGACTGAGAAAAAAGCAAGTTTAAATAATTCCCTAAGTGGACCAAAATGCACTCTACCATGAACTTTCATTTCAACCATTAAAAAAGCCCCACACGGTTAGCTTTCTGGAATTTATTTTTTTAATACAGAGAAATTGCAACAAAAAATTATAACACCACACACAAACGGTATCATAACCAATTGTTTTAATGTCATCAACATTCATTTGTTTGCTATGTACATATTCTTCCCTCTGTAAAAGTGCATTCTAAAAATGTCTTTACAAGAAACCTTTACTGACAAGTTTTTTTTAAATGGTGACATCACAATGTATTTGCCCATGGTTACCTGATACAGTAAAGTGAGCAGAATGAAACTGAAGAAACTGGGTTAGATGTCTCCCTCTTGATACATTTACTTATTCCTCCAATTAAACAACCTTAGAAATTTACTTTTTTATAGATTAATTGCATCTTGAAAAACAAATTCTGTGCTTTTAGCTCAATAAGGTAAAAATATTGGATTGTTTTAAAATGGCTTTGTAGCAGCAGATAGAATAATTTCACCCAGTTCATGTTGGAAGAGATATTTCAATATGTAAAATTATCTATTTTGTTAATTACATGTATCAAAATTTGGTTTTAAAGGACCTATTGATGGAAAAAAATATTTGCATATATGCAATGTAAAGTTTATCTGAATGCAAGCATCTCCTTTAGAAAGGCCATGTCCTTGTTATGCATAGGAATGACATGCCTATAGAATGAACCCTTAAATTTAAATGGACAATATTATGGCTTACAAAAGCAAGTTTACTTGCACCATGTTAAGCAGACCACAGTGGATGGAAAGGGGAAAAGCAAGGAGGAGTTGAGCCAGACACTGCAATCAATTTTTTTAAGCCCCAGAAAATTGTTTCCTGGTTGAAACTCCTAAAAGCTCAAGATATTTTCCACCCCTCACTAAGATGAAAAGCAAATCAATTTAAATATTTGATTTAACTCCTAATGTATATATTAAAAGCTACCATTGGGCCCCAACCCTGTAATTGGATCCTTGCATATGTGCACAGCCCAGTTGAAGTCTGCACGGGGGAAAGGGTCTGCTTGTGCAGATTAGATTGCAGGACTGAGGTCTTTGTTGGTATGTTATGCTAAATACATCTTTAGGTAATGTAACTTGAGAACTGGATGTTCTCACTATCATCAAGAAGCACAAAAAGCATGTTCTCTAAATTAGGGACAATTTTCTTTGCAGAGCAGGGTAAAAGGAATATTTTCATAGTTCAGTTGGCTTCCAATAGGAATACTTGTTACCATGTGATTCTAACATCTGCTTGAAAGTTGTAGTTTTATAAGAAAATAGACATTGTCTCAAATTGTGGCATCAATGCATTCAATAGCAAAATAAAAAGTTTCTCAAGACTTAAATTGTTTTTCTTGGACAATATTGCATTTACAGTCCTCTGTACAGTTTCTTTCAAGGCTCCCTTAAACATGTTTTATTCCATCACAGATTGCTAAATTCTAGGCACTGCTTTGAAGATACTGTACAGTCTGGTCATACATTTATCCTTTAAATGGCAAAGTCGTATTATGCCTGTAGTCATACTATAGATTGTAAAACGTGCATGTACGGATAGGCATCTAACTGATTATATAAACACTAGAAGCATAAATTAAGTCATTGAATGAAAGGCATTAACTGGAATATTTAGGAAAGTCCCAAAGAAACCAAGACCCTGATTCTCCACTCCCTCACATAGTTATTTACACCTTTGCAAAGTGAGTGCAAAGCAGGTTTTGCTTGCTACCATTTCATCGTCTTTGATACCCATTTTCCACGGGTGTACATGACTACACGAGAATCAGGGCAGAGAAGAATCTGGCCCAACTACTGAATAATACAGCAATGCAAGTGCCCTCTGTTCCTTTCCTTTGTTTAAAGCCATTTCTCATTTCGACATAATTTTAGACCAGCAACATGCTAGCATAGGTGCGGTACACTATATTTATAATCAAATCAGCTAAAGTGATTTTGATAATGCTTCCAGGCACGCATGCTAGATCATTTAGTCACAGTGCATAGGTGATTCCTATGTATCAAAACAAGGTGTCCATGTCTGAGAGCTTCACTGCAGAGTTAATTTGAATTCAAGCTCTAGACCAGTCCACCCACAAACCCTTAACTCAAATGCTTTTAGCTCAAGCTGGCTGGCCTGTCGGGGGATTCAGGCAACAGCTCAATTTAGCACAACACATCAGCTGCTCACACAATCCTTCTGCAGCTCAAGTTATATTTTGCAGAGTGGCCTCTCTCACTTGAGTGAGGTTAAATTAAGAGGTGTTCACTCTGAAGTGAAGACACTGATATTGTCTAAACTACAGAGCCTTTATCAAAGAAACCTATTGGAGATGCAGCACATCAGTACAAAAGAACATATCCTGACAGGTAGCTACACCATCTCCCAAACTCCCTGAAGGCTGCTTCAGTTGCTATAGCAGCTACAGGGTCTGTGTATGTGGGTTTTTGTGTTTGCCTCCCCCCAAAAAATATTCCTAGCCAACACAGCTATGCCAAAAAAAATTTGTAGTATATCTGTAGAAGCCATAGCCACATGAAAGGAAAAATAGGCAAGAATTTCTTTGTGAATACAATATCAGTTACTAAATAACCTGGGCACATAGTTCAAGAACCAGGTGCATTGTATTGTTTTTAAAAAGTTAGAAAACAGTCAATATTTAACCGTTTTCTAAAAAGTTAGAAAACAGTCAATATTTAACCGTTTTGTTTCCCATTTTGGGTTTTTTTCTTTTTTTGTTGTTTTAAAGGATATGCAGGATATCAAAGCCATTTTAAATTCATACTTGCAATAAATATTATGAACAATTAATCTGGAGAAATCTATATTTTGTTCTATAAACAGTGTCTGACCACTTAAATACTGCTAGGTTTTTTTATGTAATAATTATGCCATCTCAATAGGCAGTCACGTGACAAGAGATACCATAGTGATGAACATGGTATCAAAATATTTAGATTATTACTTGACTCTTTAAGATCAGACTCATGAACTTTTAAAAATTCTTGCAAAGAAGAAAGGGAAACGATAAAAGAACATTGGCAAACTCTATGGAGGCAACTCTTCTCATACCAGTTCATTGTCTGGTATAGTTTATTAGATACGGGAATGTAAAGAATTATACTAAATTTTTAAAAATACACATTGTTTCCAAGTCCTCAAAATCGACTGGGCAATCTCTAGATTTGCTTACCTTTGTAAGACTAAGGTGCAAAGGCTATTTCGGAAAATGTACTGAACTTTGAAATAAAGTCATGACAAATTCTTATATTAAGATGGCACAAATTTCTCACAGTGCTCACAGATCTGACTCTGCTGAGATCATACTTTTCAAGATCCTTTTTACAGGTCAGTCATACCAGCCTCATATATGCTGTCTGTAAAGTTCCAATCCCACCACACATGTGCATACACCTACCCCTTCATAATTAGTTTTCAACGGACCACATCTTCCTATATGTTCCTTCTGTTCATCACAACAAAGTTCTAAAAATATCTGCAAAGCAAATAACTTTAAATGAAGTGTATTAAAATCTCAAGCTTGTTTTGGTATAAAGAATTGACCTGACTGCTAAAATTACAAGTTCTGTTTCCACCAGTGTATCTCCATACAACAGTACTATCTCTGTCAATCTGTCAGCAAGGGTAACTCATATCAAATACATATTGCAGGAAGACACCATGCCAAAAATTTTTAAGGTTGCATTTTCTGGCACAGATTTACATTCACTCGTCACAATATTTTAGTTTACCCAATTCTGGGAAGCAGACCAGCTAGAGTAACTGTTTTTTAAGGTCTAATCCTGCTCCCATTGAAGCCAATGGCAAAGATCCTACAGAAATCAGTGGTAGCAAGATTGGAATCTTCTTGAAGATTTCCCCTTTAACCCAACCCTAAGTGTGGTGAGTCAACAAAATCTTCCATATTCCAACTGGGCTCCTCTTCTAAAAACCTTTGCACCCCTCTAAACTCTTCTGTGATGATACAAAAATTAAAATCAAACCATTTAAGATGAAATTTCCCCCACTCTTGGCATTAACCGACTTGCCTCCACCTTTTGCTGAAATCTTGTCAGGAGGACCAGGTCTTAGTAACACGCATATACATATTAATACATATGTACACAGACACACAAAGAAGCTGCTCTTTCAGTTAGAAAAGAAATTAATTTTGTCACAGAACGGATCCTATAAAAAGGTGTCTAATAAAGTAGTAATACCCATAAAATAGCTATTACTAAAGCAAAGCTTTCGTCAATAAGCTTCCAGAACTTTAAATGAAGAGAATGGCTTCACAAAGTGGTAGTCTAGATTTCCACAATGCGGGCACTGCTGGACGTTGCTGTATTCAGAGAAATACTGCATCCCGATCCGTACATCTATTACTGGCTTTCCACAGTGCTTACAGTTCAGTCGAGCCTGTCAAAAAGTAGACAGAAACACTGTCAAACATTCCAATTTGCTTCCACCCTTGCCCCAGAAAAAGAGAATGTATGTTTCACAGTCCATTTCTCTTTCCTAAGGACAGGCTTGATTAAGAAAGTATATAGCTTATGAGATTGGATGCAAAGCCCACTACTTAATTGGAATGGCAACTTCTTTAACTGGAATGCCTCTGGGGGATTTGGCTAAGTTCTGAACAACCTCAACTCCCACTGAAACCCCTTGCAATATTGAACTCTAACTGATAATCAAATAAGTAACTCATCTGTCATGCTGATGGTAACCTGACTCTGCAGATAAACCTTCAAATGTTGCTTCAATTCCTCCTTCCAAGCCAGATTTTTCTACATGTGTTTCAAGTTTTTTTCAGCAAGCTAGTATTATCATGACTTTCCAGACTTTTGGTGGATTAATTGAAGAGTAAAATTAACAAGAGTGCCTAACTGCCATTTTCAAAAGTAACAGCGGGGCCTAAATTACATAAGCACTTTTGAAAATTGTACCCAGTTTGTATTTCAGTTTAGTTGAGGGAAGAGGCACAAGAGAGAACTGATGAGGCATGATGCGTGTACTAAGAATGTCAACTAGCGGTTAACTGACTAGTCGAGTAGTTGATGGAATTTCCATAGACTATTCAACTAGTCAATAGGCATTCCACATTCCTCCTTTGAAATGTACGAGAGCCTCAGCAGGGGCTGGGGCTTTTGCTCATTTCAAAGAAGGAATGCGGAATTTTGTGTGCAGCCCGGGGCCAGCGGGAAGTCCCTCTGACTTCAGGCCGCATACAGATGCCAGCTTTGAAATGCACACGAGTCCCCAGCTTCCATGTACCATGCTGCACTGGGGGGACAATGCTGTGCTGCCGCTTTGAAATGCCATACTGAGTCAGGGTCAGCAGGGGACTCCTCAACTGACCGCAGGTTCCACGGAAATGCCGTGCTGGAGCCTGCAGGTTCCACGGAAATGCTGTGCTGGAGCCTGGGATCACCTGGGGACTCCCCAGCTGCCCCCGGGCTCCAAGCGCACAGCACCACACAGATAAGCCCAGGCTCAGCTGTGCAGCGCTGCCGCTTTCAAGTATCCTCTTTCCCCCCGTTTTGCTGCCTCTATCTGATAGAGGCAGCAGGGGGGAGGGGAATTGACTAATCGACTGACTATCGTAAGCATTTGCTTATCGGGTAGTCAACTGGTCTTTAACATCCCTAGTGTGTACCTTAACTCTTTAGTAAGTACAGCACAGCAATGAGAAAAGCAAGAAACATTTCAGATATCATAGCATTATGATTAATTTGGAAAGAGGCCATCTAGAAGGGCATCCCAAGACAGCACAAGCCATGTTACTTCTACGGATGGTGGTGATTTCCCTCTACCTACAGTAGCTATAGTTAGAGTAAACTAGTTAAAGTACAGGAATAAGTATGTTCTGCTAACTGAGTTTTCGTAAATTAAAGACTACATTCTGTCTGTATGTATTTACCTGTATGGATGGTCACTAATGAACTTCTGAAATCATGCTTGACACATTAGAAGAAAACAAGTAGTCCTGTAGCACCTTAACGACTAACATTATATATTAATATCATGAGCTTTTGTGGGCAAAACACATTTCTTCAGATGGGTTTTGCCTACAACAGCTCATGATATATATTTGTTAGTATGTAAGGTGCTAGAGGACTACTCTTTTTAAAGATTACAGACTAACACCGCCATCCCTCTGAGACATTAGTACAAACTGAGAGTTTTTCCACATATAAAAATGAAATATAGCGCTGACTCCTAACACTGAGAGGAATTCAGTTCCAACTGGTCATACATGCAGCATTTCCAAATTTACATGTACATATGTTGGCTTTATGGTTATTATTCTCTAAATAAAATCCTTCACAATATCATCACTGTTAAGTGCCATAGCATGTTAACTTAAATGCTAAAGTAAAAAGAAAAGGAATTAAGTCTGTGCCATACAATTCTTAATCTACATAGTTAAAATCTATTATTGTGATGCTATTTGATTTTTTCTATTCAAACATAACCTGACTATGCGGACGATGCATTCTAATTCTTATGTCTTAATAGATATATAGGTTACGGTATTCAGAATCATTTACATCATGCACCATACCTTAAATATATTTACTCTGATAACCTATGCAAGAGCTAGACATTACTATATGTAAGAGCTAGACATTACTATAGTTCAGCAATATAGTATAAAAAGTATTTTACAAATTCCAATTAGATGGGCCTTAAAGTCAATCTTATTTGGATAGATGAGAACCAAAGTGTAAATGCAAGTCGGAGAATAGACAGAAACATCACTGATTACACAGAGGGATGAGTAAAATACAAGAGTCTTAAGGAAAGATTTGGGTGTAAAAAAATGCAGGCCACTTGAGGAAAATAAAGCAGCAGGCTGTTGCAATCACAGCAGGCAATGTGCAAAAGACAGACTCAAGAGTGGGAGGAGAGAAGATAAGCAGAGAACAGAGTCCACGGTGGAGTGTAGGAGGAAACTAGGGCTGGTAAGTACGGAGTCAGGGTCTGAGTTGCACAGAGCCTAAAGGATGCTTCTGAACATAAACTACATCTCAAAATAAAGAAATTATCTTCTTCAATAAGAGATCTTCAGTGATGTTTTGCATGCAAAAAAAAAAACCATTCATGTACAACTCAGGTTGAGAAAGCATTAAAACCTAGTGTCTGATTTGCTTGGAAGCTGAAAATTCCAAGCAATCTTTGATGGAATGCGTGTCTGTTAATAATCTCCTTGGCCAAAGTTTTGCCTTGCCCAGCGCTGTTGTGAAATGCTCAGAGATGTTTTAGAATAAGGTACCAAATATTATTTTTCCGTTAAAATAATGTAAGGCTAATTCAGATTTAGTCTACATAATGTATCTTACTTCTGTTCCTTTGAAAACATGCACCACACTTGTGGGTGCACTAGCAAAAATGAGCATATCTAATAATTTAGGTGACTGAAAACTAGTAATTGTATTCTATTATATTATATTGAATTGCTTACCAAGTACTTTCACACTGCCCACTGATCACATAACTTAATACTCTTGTAATACACATACACAAGGAAAAAGAATTAAGATTAATGTTAAAAATAATCTAAATTGACTGACTTGCAAAATCAAAATGTCAATCTTAATACTGCATTTAAAACTACCTACTTAAAGAGAGGCTCACAAATTAAGTGCACAAAATTTGAAGTATCATTCTTCACTGTACCTACTACTATGGAAGCCAATTAACTACAGAGCTTGATGTTGAGTACTCATGTTCTCCAGCAGCAGAAATCCAGGTACATAATGGAGTAAACAATGAATGAAGATATATCCCCTATTTTCAAGGAATGCATCTGATGCAATACAAACATTTACTGAACTGACTCAACCTGTTCCTTTGTCCTATCTGACTAATCCAATGAATCATTCTCTTAGCACTTCCTTAGAGTGGGTCCTATAATTAATCAATGGAGTATCACTGATATGTCTACTAGATCACCATGTAAGCATTGCGCCAGAAAGTAACATCTTATGAGCTACTGCAAGGTGTTGAGCATCCCCAATCCATCAAATCACTGATCCCCACATTAATCTGCAATGACTGCAGCACCATGCAAGAATATTCCAAGCATTCTGTCCCTTACCCGAGATTTTCTCCATCTAAGGTGAAAACTGGAGAACAGTCAAGTCAAAACCAAGTTTCTTCAAAATTTGGAAGAATAAAATCACTACACTCATAGTGAATATTTAAAAAGCTTTTCTGTGCTCAAAGAATTTCTCCTAAGAGTTTCCATTACTTTTGCCTTTTCACCAGGACTACCCCTTGATAGTTCATAGCCATCGTTCAAACTGACCAGGCCTTGAATAAAAGTGCTATTTAAACAGTAATTACAGTTTTGATACTATATTGTTTTTATCCCAAAATGAACCTATGATAGAAAAGCTTGAAGTGCGTGATATTTTGTAGCATCAATCCAATCTAAGCATTTTAAATTATTTTTAAATGTATCTTAGTTCTATCCCCTGCACAAAAGGTTTATATTGGTTTGTGTCTTTTTTTAATCTCCTATTCCTGAACACCCCAACACATAATAATTCCACAGGATTATAAAGCAAGAAACATCATTAGATCATCTAGTCTGGCATCCTGTATGATGCTGGTTTTTGCTGTTAAACTAGTGGATTTCAGGGGGGAGAAGGGGAGGAGGAGGAAGGAGGGGAAACAGGCACAGGCTATTGCTTTGTTTTTTTTATCTTCAGTTGGAGCTTCATGTTATTATGCAGAATACTAACCTGACAACAGGGAGAGGCTGCCAGAATATCATAAGTATACATGGTTCCCAGTTGATGCCAGCTTCCATCCCATCGGGATTTGCACTTAATGCAGATAATTTTGTGAACCCCTTCTAAGCAGTCAACACAAACAGCATAGAGGTGCATAAGCCTTCCTGTGAACAGGAAACACATTTCTTAAGGAAAAGAGACATTATCCGAAAGGTTAAAGCAGACATTTCCTATAATGTACCATTTTGTCGTTATATACATTTTTTAAGAAGAATGACAGAGTACATAATTCATTAAATATGATACAGACTGGGCCAAAAAGTATATTCTCAAGGGGCAAAAAGGCCCACTTTTTAATAAACAAAAGGCAGACCCTTAATTTTCTCTTTGCAGCAGGACGTTGGCAAAATACTGTGGTGACCTAGAAAGTCGTCATCGAGATGACTCTCCAACTCCAGTAATTCACCCACTCTCTGTTCCCACCTCTAGAGGAAGACTTGCAGCTTACTTGCCAGTGTAGTTTAACAGTTCTATTCAAGTCTGCCAAATATATTGACAAGATTTTCCAGCAAAAAAGATGTCACTCCTAGCGCAAGAAACCACACACACACACACACACACACAGAGGTTTTCTGGGAAAAGCTTTTTGGTTTTGGTTGGCAGTACACTTTAAGGTGTGTGTATTTCAGACATGAGCAAATTTTGCTTTAATGCACATTACTTTTTCAGATAGCTATACAAACTTCAACATACCATATAGTATTTTAGATACCCTCTATTCCAGTTTGACGTGTTAAAGTAACTCTCTTCCCATCATATTTTAATCATACACTCCCCACACAGGGGTGAATTTTCAAGAGTTGAATAAATGTCACTTACTTCCATAGCAGTCAAGCAGTTCAGACTTAAAGACTGAATGTTTACTTTATAAAAACATTAACAGACTTCTCAGTGGAGACTTAATGAAGATACAAAATTCAGATGAGAATATAAAAAGCTCTACATGGCTGTGTCTACATTGGCGCAATCTTGCACCAAAGCGGCCGCTTTTGCGCAAAAACATGCTGCCTGTCTACACTGATGCAAGTTGCGCAAGAACACTGACATTCTAATGTGTGAAATCAGTATTTCTTGCACAAGAACTATGATGCTCCCGCTCAGGAATAAGCCCTCTTGCGCAACTGTTCTTGCACAAGAGGCCAGTGTAGACACGCAACATGAATTTCTTGCGCAAGAAAGCCCGATGGTTAAAATGGCAAATCTTTTGCTCAAAGGCACGTGCCAGTGTAGACGCTCTCTTGCGCAAATACTTTAACACAAGAATTCTTGCGTTAAAGAGTATTTGTGCAAGATCGTGCCAATGTAGACGCAGCCCATGAGTTTTGGGGATCCACTATTTTGATCTGGGCTCATAGCATGTTATTGAACTGAGTGCCATTGTAGACGCAGGCCATGAGTTTTGGGGATCCAGTATTTTAATCTGGGCTCATAGCATGTTATTGAACTGATCCCTGGCTATTTAAATGTGTATATTCATATTACAATAAAATATCACCCTATATTTTGCATTACTGGTACACAAGAAAGTTATGATCCAAAACTTAACTACAAATACCATCTACAAAAAAGCTATGCGATGTAATTTTGTGCTTTTCAGGACACAGGCTGTACTCTTATGAATCCAACAGTTGAATGTACAATTTCTTAACATAAGTAATGAATTCATGAATCTAGCAGCTGCTTTGGAAAAGTCTCAAAATATACACAGTGTCTGGAAGCCAAGAAGTAAAATTAGTCTGTGTCAGAGATTTTAAACAATTTTTTAAAGCAAATATTTTAGAGAAATAGAAAGGAGAGTAAAGCCATTGAACAAAACTGATAAAGCTTCCAGTTATTTTTGCATCATTGCTTTAAATATAAACTGGTTTTAAAAAAAGTATTCCCAACTGAGAAAATGTCTGAGTTTTTATAGCTTCATTTTACAATCTTCAAAAAGTAGTTTATGATGGGAGTGCTATTTACTCAGATCTTTCCTTGCAAGGCTCCTGGAGTGCAAATACATCAAGATCTCTTGCTCAAATGAATATCTGGATATTCAAACTATGACATCATTCCATGCAATTGAAATCTTTTACTGTGTAACAAAATTAGTAACATTTATAGAAGACAGCTTTAAGTGTACTTCACAGAATTCGTAGTTTTTGTGCACAGAAATATTTCACCTCCTCCCTCATTAATTTTGAGATTCCTAGTTAAATGGTTTGACTGCTAAGTCACTCACTGAAAAAGAAATTACTTGTTTAACTCAGGAGGGAAACAATGTCCTGGAACAGAGACTCACAGTTCAATTATGTGTGTCAAAATGTGCACTAAGAAGTTTAAAAGTTATTTTTATTATAAAAAAATCATTCTGCTTAAGACAAAGGAAAGTAAATTTCAAAAATTTAGGTAATCTCCTTGGATCTAGTATTTCCACGGGTGTACATAAATTTACTAGGAGTAGAGTACTACATCTACTAAGGAAACAATTACCGAAATACATGTAAGTCATGATCACATGAAGAATTTCAGAATTTTTTTTTTGCAAGTATTAAATTGACATGTGATATATTAATTGTTGTAAAAACTGATTAAAATTTGGCAAAACCATGAGCACATTATGCATATTTCTTACAAAAAAGCAACATTTTACTTGCGTTTTGTTTGCCACTTTTTTCCTTTGAAGTATATTAGGTATTATGGAAACAATACTGTTAGCCTATATCAAGTAAGCACATATAATGGGCATTATGACCATGAGTGGGATACAAGAAATGTTATAAATGGGAAAAATTCATATTAAAACCTACTTTGGGGGATTGTCTTAGTCCCACTTTCTTGCTTTTTCCATTAAACTCTCAAAATAATCACTGCTGTTTCAACCAAAGTACTAATATTTCTGTTGACATTTGCCTTGCACAGATCGTTGTCCACCTTCTTTGGTCAATTCCCTAGATTGCCTGTGTGTGTCCCTAATTAGAGGTACCAAGGAGTAGCCTTAATTCTGTATTACCGTGGTATCCAACCATTTCTGAATCAGAAGCCACTACAAATAATCTAACCATTAAATGGCATGGCCAACTCCTCCGGTATATGTCTAATTTCAGCCCTTAATCCAGGTTGCAACAGGACATTTAGGTTTGAGACTATATTATAGTGACTTACAATGCCTTACTGTAAGACTCACAGCAAATAAGGCAGTGTAGGTACAGTGCTATACAGTGTGGCTGACAGTTACCCATTGTACCTGGAACCCTGAAGGAAAAACCCCTCACCTGTAGAACTAATAGCAAGGTATATACACATTTATGCCTTCCAGAATATATAACACGTCCATTTCTGATAAGCTTACTTGTATCAAACATTGTTACTTCAGATTTGACCCAATGATAGAATGGAAATGAACTGAGGAATTACAAAAACATTTGCTGTTTACATTTTAGATATAAATCTAAAATGATATACACAAAAAGCATGTCAACATTTTATAAGACACCCAACACAACTGACAGACAACCTGTACCTTGAAGGTGACAGGGAACATCATATTCAATTTCATCATGTCTTGATGGACTAAGAAACAGGGTGCCATCCACTAGCGGAAACTGTTCAAATACTGGCAGTGCCCTATGGCACAGCGCACAGTTTACAACATTCCGGTGGCTGGCACTAAGTGCTGCAAGAATAAATTTCCGTAGGTCCTCCCCTTGACCTACTTGGGCATCATCTTCCATCCGTACGTGGAAAGTATTCAATTTATGTCTGGGTATATGAGTAAGTAATTCAGATAGGTCAAGCCTTCTCAAAAATTGTACAGGAGCATCAAAATGTCCTGACCTATGCACTTGCAAACCAGATGCCCCATAATCAAAATGGGCATTTCTGAACATGCCACCACCAGTCATGTTCTTTTTATGAGGTTCTAAGTGAATTGCATTCTTTAGAAATTCTCCTAGGTATCGTGAAGAACGGGGGCCACTAAAATGTGCAGGGGCAAGTATAGAATAACCTGTAGGAGGGGACTGGCCAGGAGAGCCACAGGGAGAACGAACTGCATAGCTCCCACTAATTATGCCTTTCTCTTGAGAGTTCTACCACCAGTCATGTTCTTTTTATGAGGTTCTAAGTGAATTGCATTCTTTAGAAATTCTCCTAGGTATCGTGAAGAACGGGGGCCACTAAAATGTGCAGGGGCAAGTATAGAATAACCTGTAGGAGGGGACTGGCCAGGAGAGCCACAGGGAGAACGAACTGCATAGCTCCCACTAATTATGCCTTTCTCTTGAGAGTTCTGCCTGTCCATTGAATGCCTTCGCTGGATGTCATGATTTAGGCCTTTTTGTGGTTTGTTGACAGGCCTACACTTTTTAGCATCTTCCATAGACTCTGCCATGGACCTTCCTGTGCTCTTCTCTGACACAGACTTTTTCTTCCTCTCATCCTGCATCCGTTTCACTTGGTACCAATCTGTGTCTTTCTTTAAGTGACCCTGCCCACATCGGCAGGAGCAAAAGCGAAAAGCAAGATCATATCCCTTCTTTGTCCACATATTCTGACGACACTGTTTTTCATTCCAACTCCTTGCTCTGCCAATGCAGTTAAACTGAACAAGAATGCTGCTTTCCCACTCGTAAAAACATTGAAGGTGCATCCAGGTGCTGTGAGGACAATGTTCATTGTTGCATACAACCTTCTGGTAGTCATCTTTTTCTAGATCAACAGGCCTTCCGAAGCTACAGATCAGTGGAGTAGCACAAGGTGCTTCTGTGGGACATAAAACAGAGACATTAGTAACTTATGCTGAATGTAATATATCCGCAATACTTATTTTAGGCTTGCACTATCTTGCACAGCAAGCTCTCCTTCTAGGTTTGCGTACTCAGGTGTATAAGGAATCTACTACCACAACTGCTGATTTATCTACAGTCAGTTTTACAAACTGAAAGACTTTTGCAACATAACCAGGATTAGAAAATAATACCACATTAGGCTCTGAGCCTACAGAGACTTAAACACCTGCATAACTTTATGTTCATGAATGGTCCCACTCAAATGGCACTGTTCAGGGACGTAAAGTGACACCCAGTAAGGCTTCGCAAGGCTGAGGGCCTTATTGTAACTCTGGTTATTATTAACAGTTTTTCTTTTGTTGTTTCTAAGTGTTGCACCAGTCCTAACGCCTATACACAGCAAGTGTACACAGGGTCTACATAGGCTGCACCATGGGAATCAAAAGAAAAAAAAAAAGACCTTATCTGAAAATCCATAGCCATGACTACACTCTGAAGCCTAGAACAGCCTTAGTGCTTGATTGCAGATGCTTCCTTGACAGGGTGGCTGCAGATCTGCACATTCACCTTACCCATCTTTGGCCAGGATGCAGAGAGCTCTGGCACAGCCACCACTCCTGCATGGGCTTCCTGAAGGCAGCCTGCTTCCTCCTCCCCACCCCCACTACATCAGTTCAGCCACACTAAAGGCTTTCAGAGATTACTACTGATTCAAGACCTGATTTACCTTTATGTGAATCTCAAATCAGTTCGACTGGCAGCCTTTGCTACATTCTCAAGCAAGAACAGTCCATTTGAAATTCCCTCTCATATGAAAATACCTGCTCCTGTACACATGCTTTGCATTTTTACGGCTTATGTATTTTCCCCCTAATCTAAATGCCTGTTGTAATACATGGAAAAATCATTTGGCTGTTTTTTGGCCTTGTAACTGAAGATGCAAAAGGCTAGAAGTGGCACTGCTGCTACCTTCTGGATTGCTGAATGTGATTATTTTTTTTTTTTGCAACTTCTAACATTTAGGATTTCTGCAGTATGATAAACCTTGGGCAAACCTTCTGGCTGCGTCTAGATTGGCATGATTTTCCGGAAATGCTTTTAATGGAAAAGTTTTCCGTTAAAAGCATTTTCGGAACAGAGCGTCTAGAGAGGCATGGATGCTTTTCCGCAAAAGCACTTTTTGTGGAAAAGCGTCCATGCCAATCTAGACACGCTTTTCCGCAAAAAAGCCCCGATCGCCATTTTCGCGATCGGGGCTTTTTTGTGGAAAACAAATCTGAGCTCTCTACACTGGCCCTTTTGCGCAAAAGGGACTTTTGCCTGAACGGGAGCAGCATAGTATTTCTGCAAGAAGCACTTATTTCTTACAGTAGGAAGTCAGTGCTTTTGCGGAAATTCAAGTGGCTAGTGTAGACAGCTGGCAAGTTTTTCCGGAAAAGCGGCTGATTTTCTGGAAAAACCAGCCAGTCTAGACACAGCCTCTGAGATTCAGCGGTATAAGCATCAACAACTGTAGGCACTGAACATACTATATAGGATATTCTTTCACTGCCCATAATTGTTCTTACTCTACACTTCATCACTCTGCTTCCGTTCCCAGAAATCATTCAGAATTTCAGCAGATCAGGCTGATGTCTCACTGGTCCCTAGGTACTACAAGTTGAACCTCCCTAATTCAGAACTCTCTTGTCCAGAAACATCCGTCATCCAGAATTATTTTAGTTAGCCAAATGTCCACTTTTCATGGGTATGGCCAAGTTTCCTGTGGTCCCATAAAGTTTGTTAACAGCCACCAGTCCCAGCTCTCAGTGTTCTGTGCTGATATTTAGCTCTAATGTACCCCTAAATGTCTTCTAAGAGCCCAGTAAGCAGTGGAAGTGTTGGTAATACCACTAGGCAATATAGACCTCCCATGGTCCAGAAAATTCTCTTGTTTGGACTAGAGAGGTTCAAACCTGTACTGCATTCAGATAAAAGCACCCTTCTTCAGAGCAAAAGAAAGCACAGATCAAGGATCAGAGAGCTCAGCAGGTGAGCTGCTAGAACTTCTGGACTCTGTAGTAGAATTCTATCCAAGTGGGCAGGCCTGGTGGGGAGGGAATTTCATCCCAAACTGGGGGAAAGCCAACAGGTGCCCACGGGTTCAGGCAAAGACATCCCTCAGGGATCAATTAATTAAAGGGAAAACTCAACAGCCTCATAAAGAAGACAGGGAAAAAAAAATGGGAAAAGTGCACGGTAGGAACTAGCGAGGTACAGTCAAATGTATAAGACTCCCATTTATGTATAATACGTGAAGGCGTGCCACTGAATATTGATCAAATGCAAAAGTGCTTATATACGAATATTAGGAGTCTAAATACTGAGAGGGGTGAACTGGAGTACCTGGTATTTAATGAGGATATTGATATAATAGGCATTGTAGAAACTTGTGTCTCCTTGACGTTCCCCAATAATACAGTACCAAGAAAACCGATTGAAACCAGAATAAAGAACAAAATTATCAGACACACACACACACTTTAACACTATGTCAGAGAGTCAACATGGGTATTGTAAAAAAAATATCATGCCTCCCAACTTGTCTATCAGTATTCTTTCAGGAGATCAACAGGCATGCCGACACAGGTGATCCAGTTGATATAGTGTACCTGGACTTTCAGAAAGTCTTCAACAAGATCCCTCACCACAGGCTCTTAAGCAAAGTAAGCAGTCATGGGATAAGGAAGGGCCTCCCATGGACCAGTATCTGATTAAAAGATAGGTAAACAAGTTTTCACAATGGAGAGCAGTAAATAGCAGGGCTTCCTAAGGATTTCTACGGGGATCTGTGCTGTTCAGCGCATTCAGAAAAAATTTGGAAAAAGCTCAGCTTCAGCTGCTTCTGGCCATCACTAAAAACATTATGCTAAGACTATTTTATATTACTCTTAAATAGCCATCTCCACTTTAAGAAACTCTTACACAGTGGCCATGCATAGACACACACAGTTCATTTTAATCAATCAATTCTAGTGCCATTGTTTCCCGTTCCTATTTTGTTCCATTAAAAGGGTAAATAAAACCCATAAAAATTTCAACACATTTATTAAAAGTACAAAACTGAATTCTCTAGAGCCCTCTTTATCCAAAACACATATGCAGATTATGTGCAGGGGTGGGGGGGAATCTACCCCTGCTGCTCCATCAATGTGCCTCAACACTCCTCTCAAGAAACCCACCTCTTAGCGTAAGAGGTCAATCAAGTCTCTGTAATCTTGTATTACATCATTGTCCTCTCTATTCCTAATGTCAAAAATGGTATCCACTGCAATGGCAGTTTGAGATGTAGATACCTTTTCTCACAAAGTGTGAAGAGCATACATTCCATGTCAGAATGCATTACCTGGGTATAAACATATCCAATTCCAAGAGGAAAAGACAAGTACAAAGTTGGATAGATAGCATCAGTAGATACAGCTATGGTATCTCTCTGGCATCATTTATGAAGTGTATCCCATCAATACAAGATTTGTTTACCTACTACTTACAAAGCTCACAGAAACTATGGTGGGCTTTTGTTGGATTTTATATTTCTAGTCTTCAAATTGTTTTGCTGGTTACCGTCGCTGTTAAAACTTCAAGTGCTCCTGTGTATTGCTGAGTATGCCAACTTGGACTAAGATGATCAATCAATAGCAACTTATCTTTTTGGACCCAAAAAACTCAAGAGTTTCCCAACCAACTACTCATCCGATACTGCCCCCTTCAATTCAACAGACCTCATACCACATCAAGTAATGCTTGTGCAGGATTTTTTCTTTTGCTCTAGCAGATAGTAATACTTTTATGTTATTTAAGATTTGAAAAGTGTAGCTTCGAATTACTGTATAACATATTAGGCAATAATATTCTATTTATCTCAAAGGATCTAACTGAAGTTAAACCATAAAAGGCACATAATCATAAACCCAATACTGAAATGGGGGGGGTTTAAGCACTACTGTGAAAATCTCTCTTTCATACATCCTTCAGAATTCATCTACTTTGTATTCAGTCTTTTATATCATTTTGAAGGAAAGAAACCAAAAGTACAAAAACCTCCTAAAAATGAAAGTGCTCTCTAATATTTGTGTACACAAATACAACTGAGATGGCCAATAATATAATGATGGTTTTAATTTTACGTCCAGAGTTCTCCATTTTTTTAAATTAGAACAGCCTGTGGAACAGAGTCCTTATCATTAAAGCCGATAAAAAAATTCCCTTTGTCCCAGCCTCATAAAACATTCTATAGTTCAGTTTGCTGAATGCAAAACAAACACAAAAATAAATTATCCATAAACATTTGACAAGACTAGTGCCTTAGCTGCATGAGCTTGCAAACAAAAAATGGCATTAATAAGGTAAGTGCTAGACATAAAAAAAAAGGGTACTTCCATGCTTTTTGGGTGGGGGGGAGGCATACACAGCCATTTTTCATTGTTTGTAATTTATTTTTATATTTAGTGGATATTTTAAAGGCGATTGCAAAGTAGAAAGAGGGATTATTTTTCTTAAATTAAGCTTGTCTCCCCTCCTCCATGACCTTTTTTTTGGGGGGAGGGGGGTGCACTTTTTCATGATGGATATAGTTCTTTGAAAGGGGTTTGGTTTTATTCCCTTCCCCCTCCCTGTGAAACGTGGTCTTCCTTAGTTTTCTGAAGAATCTACTGGAGCCTTGATTGGTGGGTAGGGCAAGGCTCCCCTCCCCTCTCTTCTACTCAGCCAACACAAGAGTCTGGGGTAATTAATCCACCTAGCAAGTTTCAAGGGTATGGCTGGATGACTGTGATGGGTGACTCTCAAAGGAGGAGGAGAATTCTACCGCGAACCTCTTCCAGGAGGGCTGAAGAGACCTTGAACTAGCTGGTTGCATCTGCAGGCATAGGAGATCAGGATGAAATGCACAGTTCCAAAAAGAAGGTTAGGGAGTCCCCAACCCCACAGCAGATGAATAGGTATCTCTTTTGGGAACTGGATTATGGCTAATCTGATCCCAGAAGGAAGGAAGATTGTTCTCCAGAACATTAGGGTAAGAATGGATCTATACATTTCTAGGCCAGAAGGGAAGTTCTGTCATTTGCAGTCAATGGGATAGCAAAGCTCCTTGGCTGCGGAGCCGTTAAGTAAACAAACTAGAGCAGCCCATTAGCAGCTCCCTCAGAGTGGGCCTATAGCTCACTTTGAGAAACACTGGACTATATCCAAGTCACTCCTTAATCTTCTCTTTGTGAAGCTAAACAAACTAAGCTCCTTGAGTCTACTACTATCAGCCATATTTCATAATCCTTTACTCATTCTCATAGTTCTTCTCTGAACCTGCTCCAATTTAACAACATCCTTCTTCAACTGTGGACACTAGAACTGGACATAATATTCCAGCAGTGATCACACTGCTGTCAAATACAGAAATAAAAATTCTCTCTACTGCTACTTGAGATTACACGTATGCCTCCAATGACGGCATTAGCCCTTTTGGGCACAGTGCTGCTCTAGAGACTCATGTTCCACTGTTTATCCACCTTCTCCCCAAACTTTTTTTCCAGTCATTGCTTTTCACCATCCTGTAATTACATATTACAATCTTTGTTCTTAAATGTATACACATTGTTTGCTTGTGCCCAGTTTAACAAGCACTCCAGTTTGCTCTATCACTGACCCATCCTCTTCGTCATTTACCACTCTCCCAATCTTTGTCATCCACAAACGTTATGATGATATAGGTTTTCTTCCAGGTAATTTGATAAAATGATTAAATAAAGTAGGTCCAAGAACTGAGCACTGTGAGACCCCTCATTAGAAACAAACCCGCTCAATGAGGAGTTATTTACTTCTGCATTTTGAAATGTATTAACTAAATCTATTTCATGTGCCATGTTCATTTTATATGCGTAGATTTTTTTTTTAAATCAAAAGGTAGGTACGATACTAAGTCAAACACATTACAGAAATATTAACTATATTGCATTAACATCTAAAACCATATTTGTAATCTCATAAACATCCAGTTTGTTTGACAAGTTCTATTTCCATAAGCCCAAATTGATTGCCATTAATTATTTTGCCTTCTAATTTTACTTAAGTCTCATACCAGCTGCCCCATTATCTTATCCAGGATCAATGTCAGAATGGTGGGCCTGTAATTATCCAGAGTATGAAAGGCAACTGAGACAGGGGATTGTAGTGACAAGCACTTGAATTTCAACTTTGAATTTCAACTACCGCATATTGACTGTGTACATATCATCTCAGGACCGTATGCAGAAATAAAATTTCTTGACATCTTAAATGACTACTTCTTGGGCAGTGACACAATTCTTGATTTAGTCCTAAATGGAGCACAGAATCTGGTCAACGAGGTAAATATAGCAGAGGTAATGTAATCACAATGTAATTAAATTTTAACAACTCTGTGGCAGGGAAAACAGCAGCCCAACACTGAAGCACTTAATTTCAGAAAGGGGGACTACACAAAAATGAGGAAATTAGTTAAACAGAAATTAAAAGGTACAGTGCCAAAGGTGAAACACCTGCAATCTGCATGAAAACTTTTTAAAAACATCACAAGAGGCTAAACTTAAATGTATATCCCAAATTAAATAAATATAATAAGAGAACCTAAAAAGTGCCACTGTAGCTAAACAACAAAATAAAGGAAGCAGCAAGAGACCCAAGGGCATACTTTAAAAAGTAGAAGTTAAATCCTAGTGAATAAAATAGAAAGGAACATAAACTGTGGCAAATGAAGTATACAAAGATAATTAAGAAGGCCACAAAAGAATTTGAAGAACAGATAGCCAAAGACTCAAAAAGTAATAGCAAAATAAGTTTCAAGTACATCAGAAGCAGAAACCCTGCTCTACAACCACTCAGAGAACTGGACAATCAAGACTAGGGACGTTAAATTTCGATTAATCAGCTAATCGAGTAGTCAATAGAATTTCCATTGACTACTTGATTAGTTGATAAAGGTTGGGGTGGGGTGCTTGCTATCCTGCCCGCAGCTCTTACTAAATTTAAAAGGCAGAGGTGCAGCAGGGAACCTGGGGCAAGCAGGGACTGCTTCAGTGCCCGCTTGCTCTGGGTTCCCGCTGTGCCCGCCTCTGCCTTCAGAGTTCTAGCTACATTTAAAAGGCAGTGGCACAGCAATCAGACTGGCATGAATGGGTACTGCTTCAGGCCCTACTTGCACAATTTCCTGCTGCGCCTCTGCCTCCCCTGCTACCAACACACACACCCCGCAGAGACAGTGCAGGGAGGAACCAGCTTTTAAGCCTGCTCCCCCCAGCACCGGTGCCTGCTCCCGCCTCCCTTTGCTGCCTCTGATAGAGGGGCAGCAAGGGGCGGAGCAACTAGTCAACTCATCTAGCCAAAAAGCCTATGCTTCTTGTGTAGTTGACTAGTCACTTACATCCCTAATCAAGACACTAAAGGAGCACAAGGCAATTGGGAGAAACTAAATGAATTCTTTGCATTGGTCCTCCTGGCAGAGGATGTGAGGGAGATTCCTGAACCTAAGCCAGTCTTTTTAGCTAACAAATCTAAGAACATCTCAAATCTGTACATTTTTTAACTTTAGGCTCCATGTGTGCTCCCATGTACTCCCTACACTCTATAGAGTGTAGTGGCTTAGGAAAATGGTCACTAAACCAGCCAGGTTCAGAAGGATCAAGATAGAAGGGATGTGTTGCCAGAAAGTGCAATACTACCACACATTCACATCATCATCTATTTAAACTCATTACTGGTTGATCTGAAACAGTCTTCAATTTGAGTGTAGAGCTATCACAAATCATATTATATTACAATTTCAACTAAATCTGAGACAATATCAAGTAAAACTTGATCATCATATAACTGGGGTCTTACCATCCTAAATCATGGTTGTCTATGATGTAACAATTAAGCTTTGAATTTTGATACCAGAGGAAATAACTTAAACTTGGTCTCAAAGAATGATGATGTGCACAGATAGGTACATTAAGATATTTATCAATAGAATTAATAAATGTTCCTATTTCCTTAATTTACTTAGGGGTGGGAATTAGTTTCTATTTCCTTGAAGAAATGTTACATGTTAGCGTCTTGATATGGGCTTTTTTACTATGTTGTTACTCTCACATATACATGACTTCTAAGAAGCTCAATAACATTTAAGACAGTGGTCCTCAACCAGAGATATGTGTACTAGGGATGTACTAGCATATCCGGTTAAACGATTAACCAAAAAGTATTAACCCTGTCACTCTACAAGTACATTTTTGCAGGCTGGCCAGCAAGCTGGCTCAGTCCCAGCTGTTACCCCCACTGTGGCTCTGCACTAAAAGTACCTAAAGAGCCAGCAGGCAGACTGGTTCAGTCCTGGCTCACACCAGGTCCCGGCAGCTACCCCTGCTATGGCTCTACACTAAAAGTACTTAAGGACTGGCAGGCAGGCTGGCTCAGTCCTGTCTCGCATCGGGTCCTTGCAGTTACCCCCACTACAGCAAAGTATCTAAGTAGCCTGTGGTCAGTGGTTCTCAAAGTGAGGTCCATGGACCACTAGTGGTTCATGACTGTCTTGTGGGTGGGGGCCCAAGGGTTTGGGGCTTATCCTTTCCCACCACAGTGGAAAGCTTGCACTGGCTCATCAGCCTTGCACCGGTCGTGAGTTTGGAGCTTCAGTGCTGGCTTCCTGATTCGGGGAGAGGGGAGCGGGGGGGGAAGCCAGAGCCTCTTGGGCCAGATCTGGCTCACAGGGGCAGGAAGCAACTCAGCGCAATGCCGCTTCTGCTGTCCTCTCTCCCCTCCCCCTTTAGGAGCAGTGAAGGGGTGCAGAGCCATGAAAGCAAACCCGCATCCCTCTCAAGCCCAGATCCCCACTTCCACTCCGCTACGCCCCCTTCTGTGCAGACTTCCCCACACTCAGCCCACTCCTGTACCCTCCCTCCTAGACTCCCGATCCCTACCTCCTCCTGCACCAATTTGGAGTAGGTGGCTGGTGGTCCACAGAAAGGTTTGCATTGAGCAGGGTGGGCCACAGGCCAAAAAGTTTGAGAACCATTGCAACAGCGTGAGTGACTCACCCTAAATTTGATTGTTTTTATATGTAAAGTCTACATTACTATTTACAGTACAACAAAATACTATATGTGCATATGTACTATTATTTAAGTACATGTAATGA